AGGAGAGGAGAGGAGAGGAGAGGAGAGGAGAGGAGAGGAGAGAAGAGAAGAGAAGGTGGAGGGGAAGGAAATTAAGGGAGGAGGATAGAGGTCGGATTTAACAGACTACTATTTGATTCACTCACCGGCATCCACACCGACCAAGAACAGACAAGGCACAAAGATTGCTACAACCAAGAATCCGAGAGATGATGATTGGCACCTCATCGTATTGGTGGTACTATGCATTTGATCAAGCTTTCACCTGGACATATAAAACCATAAAAGTTGCTTTGTATAAAAATTTTACGCAATGTCAATCTCAAACTGATCCTGGCATTAAACAGAGAGAATAAGAGAAAAATATCAAATGCCCTTGGCAGGATTCGAACCCACGTCTTCGGTATTCTAGTCCGATGTGTTAACCACTACACTACAAGGACCAACCACGCTGGTAACGCAGCCAGAATATGAAATGTAGGGTATTCGTGAGGATCCCAGAGCGATATTTTTTCTCTATAGATAAGTTGAACACCGTAAATATGTACGCAAAGAATAGACATAGTATAGTAGTATGCGTTCGGTGTGTATATAATGAAGTAGAGAGAATAAGAGAAAAATATTAAATGCCCTTGGCAGGATTCGAACCCACGTCTTCGGTATGCCAAGGGCATTTGATATTTTTCTCTTATTCTCTCTACTTCATTATATACACACCGAACGCATAATTTATTACTGGCATTAAACAGCTGATGAAGGTTTCCGAATTATTGTAGCAGCTGCTATATGGAACTATCAAAAACCAAAAGTACTTATCATCTATCCCTAAAACGACCTCTAGGCTGAACTAAGTCAGGACACTGAATCGGTCATTACTATAACTAAAAAATGATTTAGAATCTAGCGTGTGGTTTTAAAGTGGCTTGAATTGAAGTAGAGTAAACTATAACGAAGTGTATGTTTAGCATGAAGCGACATTTACGCTTGGTTTCAACTTTGTAAGGAACCATAAACAACCTTACATCTGGAGAGGAATATATATTATATACGTACCCTAGAGCTGCTCAACTTCAAACACAGATTTATCTGACACAAAGATTCAGTATCTCACTTGAACTGCAGCTGTGGGATAGGACCAGCTTGCTTAGATTTGAATTTGCAAAGTAAAATCCCTTCTCGCTGCGCGTTACGTAAACTATGGTCGAGGTCGTATTGTGCGCAATATCCAAAACGTTGCATAAAGAATATGGACTCGAGCAAATATTTAAGGAATTTCACGTGCCCATTTATCTCTTGCAAGACAGTTTTTTACCAGGTGTTCTTAACACAAAAGCTGAGTTCATTTGCCAATTTTTTCATGAGTAAATGCTATGAATTTCCCCGGAGATTTCGGCAGGGCGCGTCGGATCCGAACTGGGAGCCGGAAAAAAAGAGAGAAAATGAACAAACAAATAATCAGTAATCAATGTACTTGAGTAGAAAACTTTAGCCTTATAATGCTCGTTTAGCACTAAAACGATCCAAAACTGGCCCTCACTAGAGAACGCGCGAACAAAGGCATACATTTGAAAACTTTCTTCAAAGTGAAGACATTTGAAAACGGAAGCCTGTTATATAACTATGGACATGCAAAAACTGAGGCCCCGTCCACACTATGCCGGATAAATTTGAATCCGAATTTTTATTTATTCGGTTAGGCCTACCGTTCATACTAGTCCGGGCGAATCCGGAACAATTCTTCACCGAAGAAAGGATACTCTTAAATATGGTCAAGGATACCCTTAAATATGATCAAGGATATTCTTAAATATGGTCAAGGATACTCTTAAATATGGTCAAGGATACCCTTAAATATGGTCAAGGATCGGCTCTTAAATATGGTCACTTGAAAAAAAGATACTCTTAAGTATGATCAAGGATACTCTTAAACACGGTCATTTGAAAAAAAGGATACTCTTTAATATGGTCAAGGACACTCTTAAATATGGTCAAGGATAATCTTAAATACGGGTCAAGGATAATCTTAAATATGGCCAAGGATAATCTTAAATATGGCCAAGGATAATCTTAAATATGGTCAAGGATACTCTTAAATATGGTCAAAGACACTCTTAAATATGGTCAAGGATAATCTTAATTATGGTATTTATTTGAGTAGATATGAAATGGGGGTTGGATCTGCGCCAGGAGGCATTTGGAACAGGCTGGAGCAGCCTAGTGCTTTCTCCCTTTCTCCCTGCGTTCAATCTATTTTTAGCTGGTGGATTTTTAGGAGGGGGAGGGGTGGTCTGAAGGGGGCTTATGACATATATATTTTTAGCCGGCCCAATTTTTAGCAGGGCCACCTTTGAGAAGCTCTTCTGAAATATGGGCACCCTGAATGAATTTCGTTTGACTTTGAATTTAAATTTTTATATTTGTATTTTAATTAATATCACTAGCAAAGCCTCTTTGAAAAGCTCTTCTGAGATATGGGCACTCTGAATTTGTATTTTTTTTTAGTTAATTTTTTTCCCTTAACGTTTCCAAATGCTTTGGAATTGGTCCTTTTTATTTTCGATTCTATTTTCCCGCCAAATTTACATAAGCGCACGCACGACCCTGAGACCATAAATCTGTCTAGAAAAATTGGATCTTAAATCTCATTGAATGTTTTTAATTATTTTTCATTTTGCTACTCGATTGAAATTTTCAACAATTTCAATTTTTCTGTCTGTAAAACAAAACTATAAAAGATTGACTTAATCATTGGATTAGTTTCTTAGTCTTCATCTTTCACTCTGTTTGACAGCCATAAGTTCATTTACTGGTTTTCTTTCAAAACGGTCTATAAATGGGAGCAGAGAGCATGTGTCTTCTAATCCACCTAGTGTTGATCAAGCTAATAGACCTCTTTACCTTGAATGTAACGTTTTCTTATTTCAGACCAATTTGTTATTTCATAGAGTATTATTTCTTTGTTTAACGGTTGTGCATGAGAAGACACCTGAATATGGATACTACTCAAACAAAGAATATTCTTCTCAAGAGAATGACACATTATGAAATGTGAGTACATTTCAAACAGTCAAACAGTCTATCCTAGGATACCCTAATTGACTACGCCTCCTCGGTTGCCCAGCATCTTGGAATAAGAAGCAGTGAATCTTTACTCATTCTGGTGCTCTTAATTAATTAGTGACTGAGCTTTTCAAGTACCCAATCATGCTAAGTGTCTTCTGTTGGCCTAAGGACCTGGAGTTCGTGTTCTGTAGGCCTGATTGCTTGTATTTCTTGTCGTGTGGTTGATTTTCGAAGGTAAGCTTTCTGAGGGATTAAAAAAAGAGATGATTTAACTATAGGAGTTGTGGCTGTATAAATGGATGCATGGATGGATGGATGGGTGGGTGGGTAGATGGATGGATGGATGGGTGGGTGGGTAGATGGATGGATGGATGGGTATTGGTGGG